AAAACTATACCAATGAACCTTTACCTTTTGGCTTTCGTGTAATTAGTACATTTATCCAAGCCGTGACCAAAATGTTGTCAAACCCGAAATGTTAGGAATTATTAAACATCTCTCACCGTAACGCCAAAAGTTACAGCGTGCCGTAATTTTGCGGTATATTACGGGGTGTTTCATCCTACCATATAAGGAAATGCGAATTCCAAATATGGAATGACTACGTAAGCGTCTTCTAGTAATGAAAAACAAACATGGCTGCCACCAGGGTTTGACCGGACTCCAAACAAAGAAGTTCGCTAATTCTGTTCTAAACTTTTTGGATTTCGGCATTCCTATGATGTATCATTAGAAGGAAAATATGTATAATAATAAGGTTATTACGAGGATACCTCAAAGTATGCACTCAGATACTCTCAGATACTCTCGCTGTACGAGGTATCCTCGTAATAACCTCATATTATTGAATTAGTGACATGGGTCATGGACGTAACAAAAATTACCTGCGATTAAATACATTAATGTGCAATGATGTGGCCTATGTGTCTGTCAATCTAGAACCAAACACACCTAAATATTATATCATCTCAACAATGCATGACATGTCTCCCTGAACGCTTATGTTGTCAATGCAACTGCACGGTACATGATCGCTTATACATACCCTTATATTATATCATAATGTCCTCAATTAAGAATACTTCCTAATAATTGTGTAAAAAACATTTAGCTTTTCTTAGCAGAGATTAATGACTTATGAAACCAATATTTGCATTCTCTCTGTAGAATTGCCACTCACTCGATTTAAATCAACGCTGGGATCTACAATATCACATCTTAATATGTCAACAATGGAAAATCCAATCACGAATTCTTCATCAACGCTGGATTCTACAACTACAGCATCAACCTCAACACAAAAATCCACACGCAATCAATTTAGTAAACCAACACCAATGACATTTGCATCAACACTGGAATCTACTTTGATATTGACACCCAAATCAACTGTAACATACATTACACCCACAACATACAAATCAACGCTTAAATCGACAGCCATGGCACATTTACCAACCACGTTATCTTCTTCAACACTGAACTCTACAAAAATACAGTATGCATCAACATCCGAGTCCACCACCGAAATATTAGGATCGACACCTACAACTAGATCCTTGACATTGTCACCTTTAGTTGATTCTACATCCATACAATTCACAACAAATGTCAAATCTACATATGCAACATTATTCAAATCTACAACCATACCAACAACACCGGAATCTGCATCCTCACCATTAACAGAAACAACGGAGTCAACAACCAATTCATTCACAATAATGGACTCTACAAAAACACCCCTCGAAACAACAATGGAATCTACAACCATACCAATCACAACAACAATGGAATCTACAACCACACCAACCGCAACAACAATGGAATCTACAACCACACCAATCGCAACAACAATAGAATCTACAACCACACCAATCGCAACAACAATGGAATCTACAACCACACCAATCGCAACAACAATAGAATCTACAACCACACCAATCACATCAACAATGGAATCTACAACTACACCAATCACAACAATGAAAGCTATCACCATACCAATCACAACAACAATGACACCTACAACCACACCAATCACAACAATGGAACCTACGACCACACCAATTGCATCAACAATGGAATCCACAACCAGTCCATTCGCAACCACAATGGAATCTACAACTATACCAATAACAACAATTCAATCTACATCGACACAATTTTCGACACCAAAGGCATCTACTAGAATATTAACAACAGGTAATATTCGAACCTAACTGTGTTTATGAATAAGCTGTATGCCATCTACATTTACATTGTTAAAGAAACAACAATTTCAAACGGTCAGCAAGATCACGTGCGATCAAGGCAATTGTTCACTAATTGGTAGCATTTAATTATTATTTTTTTTGAGAAATTTATCTTTATTTTATCTTTATTTATTTTTCAAAATCGTTATTTTTAGATCATAGAGCACAATGTTAAAAGAATGCATTTTTTGACACTTTTTAAAGCCCAGATGTTTTAAATAAGTTATTATAATTAGAACAATAATTACCCCATCATTTACAATATATGCATTTTTAAATTAGCCTATGTCACCAGGCTACAATTTGAGATAATATTCCTGTCATGGGAACATATGGTAAAAGTGTTATAATACTGTCAAAATGGCAAATATCCACTAAAATACAACCATCAAGTTTTCAAAAATTCGGCTGGTAACTACACTTTTTTAAGTCAATATTCATATAATGCCCCGGAAGTACAATTTATTACAAAATGAATAAATTCTGGTTATTTGCATTCATGTGTAGACATCTACCTTAAGTATAAAGCGGTGACAGTGGTTGCTGTATTCATATAACATCAACCTTGGTGACATGTTGATCATTTTATATGTTTAGAAATGTGCCTGGAGTTTCGATTTGTGTTGCAAATATACAATCGTCTGAAAGAAGGCATTCGGAAACCATTCTATGTCGTCTAATATAAGTTTAAAATTATTGTTATATCATATATATACATATCAATGTGTGTGCCTGGCTCGTGGCTAAAAAAAAACACGATTAATTTATTGAAACGCGATTTATGCTGTGAGACACTTCGTATTGTATCCCCATCCAAGTGCATTTAATTTTGTGACAGCTTCATGGAGGCTGAATGAACAAACAAGGTAGCATTATTTGGTTGTTACTTTTTCAGAATTCACACTTACGAACGTTGCACTAACTGGTACTGCAACCCAAAGTTCTTTATATATAGCATCGGCACCTAAATACGGTTATGCATATAAAGCTATCGATGGCAATGACGATCCGGTCTGGATGCACGAATCCTGTACTCATACTCTTAATGAAAATAATGCTTGGTGGAAAGTTGATCTGGGATCTTTGTATGAAATTCATTACGTCATTATCTCGAATAGATCATTATATGGTATGTTAATTATTGCAATTAATTGCTTATACTAATAGATTTCATTTATCAATATATTTTCAGAAGAATAATATGTCACAAAACACTGAACAAAATAAAAAAATGCATAAATTTCAAAATCAATTATATTTTAATCAAGTCGTCAAATTGCACATTGTTAGGTAACATAGCTATATACGTTGTTCCTCATGTCCGAGTTTCAACTTGTGAATTACCATCTAGTCGCTGTGGGACAGTGTTCACTGTACGTCATTTCGAAATGGAGTGTGGCGTAGTAGGCATCGCGTCTGCCCAGTGTCGGGGCGATTCCCATGATCGCGAGTTTGAATGCTCGGTTTCATGTTGTAATATTTGTCTGCCTTTAAAGTTTATTCGACTCACACGAAGAATTGACAAAAGACGCCCATTGCCAGTTATATAATAAATACAATCAATGAAAGTTTCCAATAACTAGTTCACGGTCACACACAGAAATCACGAACAATAAATATGGAGGCAGCCTCGGTAATGACTCAACTATTAAGCAGGGAGGGATATCAGTTCATAAATTGATGAGCACCCTTTTAGAATGTGAAAAAAGATGAGAACGTTCATACCTAACTTATCATTAACGTTCAACATTGTTAATGTACATTATCAATAATATAAATCAAGAATATGACGTTCACCAATCATATCCTACCCCTACAAAATCAACATTCCTAATTCATACCAAGCAGGCCAAACAGAACACTTTCAGTCAATAAAACGCATATTCTCTTAAAACGATAAAGCGGCTATGATACTTTCTGTGGGATTGTGTATGATATGTAATTGACGCTATAAATTGGAAGTTAGAAAATACTGTTAGTTTTAGACCAAATGGATACAGGTCCAGGTCATTTTTTTAAATTTATGGAAATAATGATTTATCTCTTGAGAGGTGACAAACGATGATTTGTTTCCTACATCGTTACATATGTTAAGAAACAAAATAAACCACGCATTACCTAGTCTCTTGAAACCAAAGCGAGGCTAACTAAAACAATAACTAATGTGATTACTCTGATAGGAGAACGTATTGATGGCGCTGTAGTGCTGATTGGAAACAATACTGACGTCAGCCTGAATGAACAATGCGGTGATACAATAGATTGGGCGGCGAGGACAGATGATTTAAAGTTCCGGTTTGATTGTATATTATCAGGGCAGTATGTCGGAGTGCAGCTAAGAAACCGAAAGAGTAGTCTAGAATTATGTGAGGTTGAGGCATATGGAAAATAATTTCGTAGTAACTCAATATTTGACGACGTGTATGTAGTGTAGTGTAGTGTAGTGTAGTGTAGTGTAGTGTAGTGTAGTGTAGTGTAGTGTAGTGTGGCATGACATGGCATGGCATGGCATAACTTAGTGTGTAAGTTCAGAAAATCATTATGCTCACACCTTACGATACGATTGACCAAGATAAACTTGCGACACGAACATATAGTCGGAATGTTTGGTGAGCGGATATTTATAACCATGTCACTGCCTAGTCGCCGACGGAATCGCAATGTATTTGATAAACATTTCACGAGTTATGCATAATTTAATTACTGTATTTTTGTTCCAATACCTTGCACTGTTTAGAAATGAAACATTTTGAGATCGTGAACATTTGTGGAATACAAATTTTCAAACACCAATTAACCATAAAGAAGCCTGCAGATTGCAGGTGGTCGATACTGTGCGTAGATCTAAGTCACTTGCTGTAATGTAATAACTCTCTTATAAACACTGCAGATTACCTAGTTCTTTTTGTGGAATAATAGTGGTATTGTCTCCCGCTATTTTCATAGCTTTAATAATTGCAATTATAAAACACAGTTATATAGTGTAATGTGAGTTCAAAATGGCACGCCCACGTTTTCGAAACTACGCCGTTAACAGTTAACAGTTAACCAAACATCGGGTGACGAGCAAAAAAATATTACTTGTTTAACGTCCACATTCAGTAACTCGCGAACTTTATTGATTAACAACAGTTAACCGAACTTCGAGTTACAGGCAACATATATTATTGTTTTTTTTAAAGTTTTATGTTTCCCGTAACTCGAAATTCGGTTAACTTTTAATTAACAGTCAAGTTACTAAATTTGAAATTTAAACACAGAATCTATGTTTTCTGTAACTCGATGTTTGATTACCTGTTAATTAAAGTTTGAATTACTAAATGTGGACGTTCAACAAAAACATTTTTCACGCCCATAACTCGCAGTTCTGTTAAATGTTAATTGAGCATCGACTTACAATTTGGGCGGGGTTTCGCAAAATTGGGATTTTTAAAAAATGGCTTGATGTTTTCGGAACTCAATGTTCGTAACTGATATCCGTAATTCGAACAATTCAGCACCCCGTATGGGTGTTTTTTTTGGATTTAGCTTCATGAGTTTCGTCTTTGGGATGTTCATGCAAAGTCCCAACTTACCTGCAGTTGGTGTGAGCCTGTTTGCCTTCCCCTGCTGGTCGAAGTCCCACATCATAAGCGAAGTCAAGGTCATCTAGCGTCGATGTTAGCGTCCATTGGATTACAGTTCCCTGCCCATCTGCTGTTGCCTTCATTAGCCAATCCATTGCCAGTATAAACAGGAATGGTGACAGGATGCAGCCTTGCTTGACACCAGTTTCCACAGTGAGATCGTCTGTCACCCGACCCTTGAAACCTTCGTACAGGATCTTGATGATGTCGACCATCTTGGCAGGGATTCCATATCCTCTTAGCATTTTCCACAATGCTTCTCTGTGTATGCTGTCAAAGGCTTTTTCAAAGTCAATGAACAGTATGTAGAGGCTTGCATTCCATTCTATGGTCTGTTCAAGGATATGCCTCAGTACGAATATCTGGTCAGTGCAAGACTTGCCTTTTCTGAAACCTGCTTGTTCCTTTCTGACTTGTCTTCCATTACTGCAGCTATGCGGTTCAGTACGATTTTACAGAACACTTTGTAGGTTAGAGGTAGCAGGGTAATGCCTCTCCAGTTCCCACACATCCCTAGGTCACTCTTCTTGGGAAGCCTAATTATGAGGCCCGTTTTCCACTCTGGTTGCTCTTCCTGGTCCCAGATTCTTTGGAAGATACGGCAAAGGTGTCTAGGTGTGTCCCACTCATTGGCTTTCAGCATTTCTGCACTCACTTCATCCTGTTCAGGAGCTTTTCCATTTTTGAGCTTCTTTATGGCTTCTCTAACCTCTTCGACTGTGATGGGGTTGGTGTTGATGTCAAGAGTTTCTATGACTTCTGGGATGTCTATCAATTGTACAGGCGCTGGTCTATTCAGGGTCAAGTGTTCCTTCCATCTCTCCATCTTCTCCTTCTCGACCAATATGATGGTCCCATCTTTGGCTTTTATCGCTGGCTCTTGACTACTGCCAAAGTTACCTCTCATCTTTTTTGCTACCTTATACAAGGTCCTCAAGTTGTTTCTCTGTGCTGCTATCTCAGGTTCACTGGCAAGGTCATCAACATAGCGATGCTTGCCATTTCGACAGCTTCTCTTGACCTCCCTGTTTTTTAACAAGTATTCCCCATGGAGGCGGTCCTTGAGTCGGGCTGATCTTACATTTAAGAGTTTCCCTTTCAATGTCTTCCTTTCTTCTATCAACCTCCATGTTCCTGGTTGTATACATTCTCCCTTCTTGGCTTTTTTGTAATCGAGGATCTCTTTTCCAGTTTCCTGTATGGCCTTGTTGAAATCCAAGACATTTCCTCTTTGTAGCAGACTGAATCTGTTTTGGAGGGTAATGGTTAACCTCTTCTTTACCCCAGTGTCATCGGGTTGCGAGGCTTGCTCTCGGCTTTTGGGTTGAGTGGTTGGGATTCATTGTCTGGGGAAAATGAGTGACGCTGTCTGGATTAAATTTGGGGTATGTTTCTTGGCTTTGAGGGTGATATTTCAACTAATCAACGATATTTACACAAGTCACTACATGTCATAACACACATCCAGAGTTGCACGTTCCAAGGCCTAATTGTACATCAACGTGGTGAGCCATACTGAACCGATTTATCGTTCACTCGGTCTTCGACCTAACTCTCTCGTTGGCCAGTTACCCTGCACTCTCCACTCTCTACCCTACTCTGACTTAACTACAACTGTCCTAACTCGTAAAGTTGCATTGCGGGATGTATAGTGTTACCTTGAAATCACTACACTCTTACATAATCATGTGAAATGGAGTGCACCGCAGCGACTGAGTTAAATACAATTAGGGCAGCAATCACCTCTGTGATTTCTCATATAGCCAAAGGGAATACTTTCACATATCTCAGACTTGTGACACCAGGGTCATTCAACTTGTTGAAGTCAAAATGTTTTTTCCTGCAGGCTAGGTTCCTGGTCTTCCTCAGTTTTAGCTTCAGTTTGGCAACTATGAGGTGATGATCACTCCCGACATCTGCCATTTTCTTCAATCCTACGTCCTGCAGTGACCTGTTATATTTGTTCTTCTTGTCAGGTGACAACCAGGTATACTTGTGTATCCTTTTGTGTTGGAAGATTGTTCCTGCAATGGTCAACCTGTTTCCTTCACATAGATCACATAGATCTCCATTGTCATTTTGGTTCCCCAATCCATGCTTTCCCATAATGCTCTCCCTACCCACGTTGTTGTCCCAAACTTGAGCATTGAAGTCGATCAATACAAGAAGTACATCATGTTTGGGTATCCTATCTATGGTAGTTTGGAGGCTGTTAACTGTTTTCCACTCCATAAGGGTAGTTAGATCTCCTTGTCCAATATAAGAGTTGTTTCTCCTTGATGTATGTCACCTTGTTTTCCAGACCAGATTATTGTGTCACCCGAGTCCAATTTTCTTTTCCCAGAGCCTGTCCACCGGGCTTCCTGTATTGCTAGAATCTGTATTCCATAAGTGTGCATCTCCTTGACATCTCCTTGTCTGGAACAATGTTCGGACATTCCAGCATCCTACTTTCGTTGAAGGCTTCCGTTAAGGCTTTCACCTCCATTTGTCATATTACCCTTTTTCTGACTTATTCTTTTCTAACCACATTGTTGTTGTAGATTTTCCTAGCTTCAGTTTCTGTAGCAATTTTGGAGGAGTTTTTGTCTGGTTTATCACCTCCTGCCTGTCTGCTGGTCCTGCTGGAAGTTTGCACTCCCGCCAGCATAGCCATTCGGGTCATCAAAGCACACGAGCTGTTACATCACAAGGTAGCAGACTCAACAGTAAAAGTTTTGGTAAGAAGCTGATGAAAGAACTGGCGATGCTGGATAATTATTCACACCTGAAAATCCAGATGTTGCTAGCATAAACTAGTTGGAATGCCATCAGCGCCATTCCCCATAGAGCATGCTAGGATGTGATATTGTGCACATGTTTGTTTTTTGTTGAAAGATGTGACATGTAAAGTGACTGACATCACTGAATAGGTGCAGGATGGAACTGATGGTGATTTAGCCAGATAAAATCAAACATGTAGACTATGTTGGTGAGCAGTGAATTTGGTATAAAGAGTTCTAAAAATAATGCCAGTGGTAATGAAATGTCAAGACCACGACTGCAAAACTAAATGAGGCTGGTTGAGGGGCATTCCAGAAAGACGCCTCCATTCTGCACTAAAAGAAGCTGAAGACAGGTTTGGCAGAAGAATCAAAATGTTAAAACATAAAATGCCAAAATTCAAAGTCTATAAACGTACTTACAACATCAGAATCCATAAGCAAAAATGAAGGGACAAAAACAACAAAATAAACAGAGGGAGGATTTCAGGTGTTTCGATAAAAATTTTAAGCACATCCTGCTCCACTACGGCACCCACTACATACCTTCCCTGCTATATACATCTTAAACCAGCTTGTTAACAAGTTGGAAATTGAAGCAACTTTATAAATACATAACTGTCACAAGGTCACAGGGTCAGGTCAAATACTAAATCAAAACACCCATTAGTATTTTTACCACCTCGTGTGAGATTTTAACGAGTTTAAAGTTACGCAATTCTTGGAACACAGATTGATTTATGACAATTATATGCATATATAAAATATGACAAGAATGTACGTCGGTCAATCCACATATGAACTACATGGAACCAAACTTTATTAGGTACAACAACAAAAATTATGCTTGGTATGGTTGCTCGTTTCTGGCAATATCGCATACCCCTGGGATAGTTCAATGCTAAGTTACAACATGTATGCCTTCACCATCACCAATTAGTGACGAAAAAACATGGACTACACAGCAAGGTTGGTAAAGATGTGACAAGTTAGAGAGAGAACATTGTGAAATATCACAAAAATAATCTGGCCAGGAAAATAAAAAGGAAAAGGATTTTATAAATTAAATCAACAAGCACGATATAATAACTGAAAGCCCAGGACTAACTAGTGTGAGTGAATGATTGTCCAGTACCTGTATTAACCTACAGGTGTCAAGTATTGACCGCAATGTGAACCTCATGAAACCACAACTGGAATTATCATGTTGGTGTGACCAAAATCCACATTTGCAACCGCAAATGGGGACACCTCGCTATTCCAAGGGTTCATAGGTCTGAGGGTTCACTTGTCCAAGGGTTCATTAGTCTGACGGTTTTAAATGACAAAAGAATCCCATATATTGTTAAATTGTGAATGCATCTTGCAACCTCTGTATATATATAATTATTCCAAAAAAAACCGTCGGACTAATTTACAAGTTAGTTTGTTTTTTATGTGTTTATATTTCATGCGTTTGTTAGCTAAATTAAT